CCCTGACTGTGAAGTAGTTCTTACGGATGTCTAATCTAAACCTACTCTCCAACAACTTGTGGCCGTTATTCCTTGTTATCCCGGGGGGCGCTAGGGGAAACAAGGTCTCCCCCAAACCCTTCTGGTCCCCCCTAGTGAGTTTATAGATGGTCACCAGGTCCCCAGCAGGTCCCCGGTCACCAGGCATTGGCAGCTTATGTTCATCTTGGAGTCAATAATGACTCCAAGATCCCTCTCCGCCTCTGTGCTTTCAAGAAGGGAACTCCCCAGCCTGTATGTATGCTGTGGATTCCTTCTCCCAAGGTGCAGCACCCTACATTTGTCTATGTTGAACCCCATCCTATTCTCATCTGCCCACTTTTGTAGTCTGTCTAAATCTAGTTGCAGCCTCTCTCTTCCTTAAAGTGTGTCCACCATGCCCCACATCTTAGTGTTATCAGCAGACTTGCACAACGTGCTTTCCACCCCCTTGTCCAAGTCGCTGATGAAGATGTTAAACAGTGCGGGCCCAAGGACAGAGCCCTGGGATACCCCACTGCTCACATCTTGCCAGGTTGAGTACAACCCCTCCACCACTACTCTCTGGGTGTGCCCCATCAGCCAATTTTTTCCCATCCAACTGTGCAGGCATCAATGCCACAGTCACTTAATTTATTGATGAGGATGGGGTGAGAGACAGTGTCAAAGGCCTTCTTAAAGTCTAGAAAGACTACGTCCACGGCGACACCATCATCCAAGGATTTAGTTACTTGGTCATAAAAGGCAATCAGGTTGGTCAGGCAGGATCTGCCTTTGATGAACCCATTCTGATTTCCCCTGAGCATGATTTCCCCTGCAGGCCCCCCACAGCAATGGGGGCAGCGAGTTGTGCCTCCCACTGCCAGGCAGGCAGGGGGTGCACAGCTGGTGGGGGCCTCCTGGGGCTAAGGCAGCAGGATGGACAGCCCTGAGCCCACAGTGAGCAGCCTGCATCTGCCCTTGCCTTGCTTGGCTCTGCCCTGTTCCAGCCATGGCGGGTGGAGGGAGGGGGGCAGCAAGCAGGGAGGAGAGGTGAGCATGTGCCACCCCACCCCCAGGCCGGCCCGGTCCACCCAGCCTCCCCCACGAGGCATGAAGGCCCGCTCTGCCTGTGACAGCAGCAGCACCAGGAGGGAAAGGCCCCTCACATTGGAGTCCCTGCTGGGCCTCCAATTTTCTATTTGCTCAGGCCCCCAATAAATCTTAAACTGCCACTGCTGACCTATTGTGGTCTCCCTGAGTTCTTTGCACCAGAAGAATTGCTCTGTTAGTTTTCTATAGTCAAGAAATGAGTGAAAGTTAAGAGTTGGCATTTTCCAAGGGATGTCTTGAGTCTCAAAAGGTTGAGAATCACTGTTTTAAACTTCATACTTGTTTCTCAAAAGCTGGCATCTTTGCTAGTATATTTTGAGAATCTGTACCAACATACAGAGAAGCTTTTATTACAGTTTCAGAAAACAAAATAGCAAGTCTTTATTTTACTCAACTTTTCTTCACCAGGACTAGACTACAAGACTTGTACAGTGTTGGTAGCTCTAGAACAACAGTGTAAAGAAATTAAACATGCTGTTTACCATGGCAAGAATGAGGAAGACATTGGAGCTGGGGATCAGGTAACGTGGCTTAATTCTAAACAGTTAGTTGAATCCAGTGTATGTTACAATCAGTTCCATTTGGTCTCATAGAGCAAATGAGTTTGAATAAGCATGTGAGTTTGAACAACTAAACATTGCCCCTACTGTCTGCCAAAAAGGTCAAGGCATAATGTCACATGCACTGATTTCAGTGAGACTTGGATGCACATCAAGTTGTCAGCACAAGCAAGTACGAGCTCTTAAGATTTGCTGTGGTATTTTGAATTATGCAAGGCGTTGTAGAGATCATTTGGGGAATGCAAGCTCTGCAGACACCAGGAGCTTGCTCTCTGTCATTGTCTCTAATTAGTCTGGATTCTTAAGGCAGAATTGCTCTTTGAGAATCAGGCACTGGCATTGCTGAAATTCTTAGAAGAAAGGAATACCTTGAATGCTGTCTGATAGTTTCACTTCAAGACTGATGTGTGTGTAACTAAGCAATTTGCCCTTATAATATATCCACATGCCATGGCACTGATATTTCTTCCTCTGCACAGAAAATGGAAATAAGTGCCTCTTTTTCATTTTTGCTTTAATGCAGGGTTTGATGTTTGGTTATGCCACTGATGAAACTGAGGAATGCATGCCCCTAACGATCCTACTTGCACACAAACTTAATGCAAAGATAAAAGCCATGGAACGGAGTGGAACATGGCCCTGGGTTAGGCCAGATGGGAAAACACAGGTTAGTAAATAATATACATAATATGTCAGATACCTTATGAATATTAAGGGTAAGAAATAGCCAAATTATTGATTTTTAGGCTCAAATTTTTCAAATAATGAAGAAACAACTGGGTTGATTGTGTCATGAAAGGTGTGGATTTTACAGGCTAGGAGACCATATTCTCTTATCTGCTAGAAACAGTCAGCCCAGCCTGTCCTACCTGTGCCTCAGACACGACTGTTGGGACAAATAGCAGGAGTGAGAGAGATGCATTAGCTTTTCTAGAAACTAATGAGTCTAGTTTTTACCAACTTTTATAGTTTTTCTGAAGATATGCCTACATCCCAAAAACCTGGACTGAGACAACCCAGTCATAGGTCACCAAACAGTGACATGTCTTAGTGGTAACATTGGCTGCTTTTGAGACGGTGACCTACAAGTAACAAACTCTTTACCCAGTTAATCATTCCAATCAAACCTTCCAGAGCAGTCAAGAATGGATTTGAGATAGAGACAGAGAGTTACGTTTGATTCCCTCTAATAAGACAATTAATGTCCACTTGTTTTTACAAGTTGGAAAAGAATCAGATAGTGGTGGGAGTTAAAACTGTTGCAGGTACTGCTGGAAAGAAGGGCATTTTAAGCTTAATTCCTGTGTTTTACAGATGACAGATTGTACCAAATTGTCTTGCTGAACTTGTCTTCCATTGGGGTATGCGTGTAATTTTAGTCAAGGGTGTATAGAACAAATTAAGAAACTGTTTTGGGGAGCAATTTGTCTTTATGAGAACACATACTGCTGTGGTGGAAGGAAATGCTAGGCTTTAAGCATCCTTGTGCATATATACATAACTGGTAAGGGAAGGGCACATGTGTAGTAGTTGACAAAGAAATGATGCTTGGAACCTGTCTGTTATTTTCTGATCAAAGTAATACAACAGAAGTCAGGCTTATCGCAATGCCTTATTCCACTGTCAGAAGTAGTAGTCAGTCACCATAGACAGCAGTAGCTACAGTTGAATTCAGATTGGATCATACTCTTCCCTATCATGAATTAGCGGTAATTATAATGTGTGAACTTCAACTGGGGGAAAGCACTTGAAATAAGACAGTAAAGAAATAAGACAGCTCTTGGATTGAATCCCAAAAGGCATCAGGCATCTGCAAATTTTAATATTACAGATGTGTGAAATGCTAGTGCAAAGCACCTTTTGGAGTTTGATATATCATCCTGGGCATGCCTACATGAGATGCTTTATTGAACATTAGACTAATCTAATGTACAGTAAAGTGTCACTGTCTACATGTGCATGACATTTACTGTGCAGTAAATTAGTCTACTGTGCAGTTTGCTAGTACCTGTAGATGCAGGTAGTAGATTAACTGTACACATGTAGATGGTGACTTGGGCACAAATCTTCTCCTGGTCAGCCAGACCAGCAATGGGCTAGTCTCCTGCTTGGGGCAAAGCCACGTGACTGGGACTCCTTGGCTGTCCCAGCCTGGCCTTTAGACCCCTGGCCTGATCCTCAGGGCCTGTGCCAGCTGCTGCCTGCCCTTGGGCATCGGGCCCAAGAAGTGTGGGTACATGCCGGCCACAGCAGGCCCACAGACTCAAGCTCTGGCCCCAGGATCTGTTCCACCAGCTGCCTGCCTCCTTGGCACTGTGCTTCTCTGCTGCGGGCACATGCCAAGCCCCATAGGTGCTGACTCTATGGATCCTCCAGGGCTCAAGCACCCACTGAACAAATTAACAGGTGTTCAGCACCCACTAGCCACGTAGCCACTGTCAGTAGCAATGCATAAGGGGTGCACGGGGGTGCATGTACACCCCCTGAGAGCACTGGTGCATCCCCTGACAGCCGCACTTGCTGCTTAGGCGACTGGCAGGGGGGGCAGGTGGGAGCACTGGTGCCCCCCCTGCGAGTGCCAGCTGGGGAGCAGGGCCACCCGGTGAAGCGGCCGTGCTCCCAGGGGGTGCACAAGCGCTGGCCAGGGAGTGGGGCCACCACCAGAAGCAGCTGTGGGCACTTCTGGAAGCACCGCAGCGGCTTTTTGGTGAGTGAGATCGGCCATGGGACACCCCCCACAGTTGCTGACTGGTTGCTAAGGGGGTATGTGCCCCCATTGACTCAAGAGGCACCAGTTACCCATGGCCACTGTTGCCCCAAGAAATGAGTCCAGAGGCAATCTGGGAGAGGAGCATTCCTCTGGAGGCCTGGGATGACATTCCAGGAGGAGCCTGCTCTCATTGGCCTGGGGCCAGTCGGGAAATTTAAGAACAATCCAGAAGACAGACTGGCATTCAGCTTCCCCTAGAAAAGGGGAGAGCACCAGCAGCAGGGAACTATGCAATATGTGTGAAGACATGGGACCAAGACGGCTGAATGAAGGAGCCTTGGAGGAGCCAGGACAAGACCCAGCGAGGACCATGCTGACCTGGGGAAAGGGAAAGTTAAGTAAAGCAGGTGGCTGGGATCCTAAGGGCCAGGTAGTCAGGCCAGGGGCTAGGCAGAGAAGAGATCTGCACCTCAAGACCCATTGGGACTCACCAGCAAAAAACAAAGTTGGCACCTCTGTCAAGCCCTGCTGGAACCTGGAATCTCTGCCTGTGCCCCCGAGGCAGAGACGGTTCTAGCAGGGTGCGGGGCCTGGGGCAAATCAGCCTGTGCGGGGCCCAGACATGAAGAAGCCGGCTGGACACGAAGCTGTCAGCGGCAGTGCGGAGTCACCAGCACTATGCGGGCCCTGCAGGAGAGGCCGCAGCTGATTTGCCCGGCTCTGCAGGGCCCTGCCAAAGCACAGGGCCCTGGGCGGTCACCTTGATTTACATGCCACCGGGATGGCCCTGCCCCAAGGCCTTTGGAAGCAGCTGTGATGGCAGCCTCCCTGATGCCTCAGGAAGTGTCCTGGGGCCACAGCTGGTCCGAGGGAGAGACAACTGACCTCATAGTAGTCTGGACAACACCAAGATGCAGAGGCTGTTTGCCCACAGCCACCAGTCAAATGCCCACATCTATGAGGACGTGGCAG